TCCTCTTTCCACAAAGGGGTCACATCTCCTGCCCCGGGCCACTCATCTCCTCATAGGCTGGACTGGGACTGTCTTCATCCATTCAGGCTGCTGCAGCAAACCATCTCCGACTGAGTGGCTGATAAACCACAGACATTCAATTATCACAGTTCTGGAGGCTAGAAGTCTGGGATCAGGGTCCCAGCATGGTCAGGGGAGTGTCATCTTCCGAGTTAAAGACTTCTCGCTGTGTCCTCACATGATGGAAAGGGACGAGGGGACTCTCTGGGGGGGGTCTCTTTTTTTTCTTTTTTTTTTTTTTTGCGGTACGCGGGCCTCTCACTGTTGCAGCCTCTCCCGTTGTGGAGCACAGGCTCCGGACGTGCAGGCTCAGCGGCCATGGCTCATGGGCCCAGCCGCTCCACGGCATGTGGGATCTTCCCGGACCGGGGCACGAACCCGCGTCCCCTGCATCGGCAGGCGGACTCTCAACCACTGCGCCACCAGGGAAGCCCCCTGGGGTCTCTTTTATAAGAATAGTAATCCTATCATGAGGGCTCTACCCGCATGACCGCATCACCTCCCAAAGGCCCACCTCCTAATACCAACACATTGGGCTTTAGGGTTTCAACATATGAATTTGAGGGGGACACAAAGATTCAGACCAAAGCAGACTAGAACCCAGAGCCTCGGGGGACAGACCTGGGGGCCTTCAGAATGCACCACCGTGTCCTTCCCAAAGGTCAGCCTCACCCGTGCAGGCGGCAGCTTGGCCTAGGACCTTCCAAGTTTGAAAACCGAAGACTTTATCATATAGTATGTAGAGCTTGACTCTTGCCATTGGCGACGGAGAGTCCCTGCTGGGGCCTGAAGCACCCCCTGCTCTCTGTCCTGGCTCTGGGGCTCTGCTCTGACTTTCCCTCCCGGCAGACAATGGCTCCAGGGGCATCAGGAGAACCCAGATTCAGCCTGTACCTGCCCCAGCGCCAAGATCGGGGCTGCAGAGCAAGCGGAGGCTGAAAAACATGTTCCAGCCTCTGCCTGAGTCAACAGCATCCCCTGGAAATCAATTCACAAACCAATTTGGTTTCTAGGGCGTATTTGAAAAAAAAAAAATTATTTTTTTCCCAGCATCTGAGGTTGTCATCCAGCAGCACACCTCAGTGACAGCCCTCACGTTCTTTCCTCACAGCATGTCTCTGGCTCTTTCTCAGAGGCCAAACCCAAGATCAAATAACGAATCATGTTTTATCCGGGCTTCCATTTCTACACAATGTGATTAAAACAATAACTGTCATGAGACAGGTTATGAAAACTCTTTCCATGGTTCAAGATTAAGTCTCATAGAGAAGGGAGCATGTTCCGAGAAAACGGCCTGGATTTTATACCCAGTCTCTCTCTTCAGCATCAATCAGAGGCTAATTGTGGCTGTTGGGCTGGGATAGCTTAGATTCCAGCCTCAGAAATCGGGATTGAACAAAATGCCCTTGATCACCTTGGGATTTTTGTTTTCCTGTCTGCCTGGATACTGTCCATTCCAAGAGCTGTAAGAAGCAAATAGATCATAAGTAATGCACCATAGAAACTGAATAATATTGGCTAAAGAAAAGTAAGAATTTCACTGTGTAGGTCCTTTCTCTCCAGGCCTAGGTGCAGAATGTTGAAATTGGGCAGGGCCTCCCAGTTTTGAGCCTTTATTAAAAAGACTTAGACGCTGGCCCTAAAACCTGGCCCTGGTGACTCAGCTATCAACATGAGTTTAATGCTCTCCCTGGCAAAGGCTCAGCTGTGGGATATGCCGATTTCAATCCCCCCTCCCAGGGTGGCCTGTTGCCTCTGCAGGGTAAAGTTACTTGTAGGATTCTTGGAGGCGCTGCCTGTAACTCCAGCGATCCTCTAATTGCGGTATAGTATTTGGTTAAAGGGTGTGTTCCCGCGGGGTGAGAAAGCACACACACCACGGGGGTGGCAGCTGACCCGTAGCCCTGTTGCAGTAGCTGTGCTGTGGTCAGTGCTTGGCTGTAGCCAACACATGTTTGATTCTCTGAGTCAGATAAGAATGGCTCTTAGGAGAGGCTGGTTGTTTCTAAGGTGGAAGGTGAAACCCCAAGGGAGGGAAGAAGTAGCTAAAGGCAGTAATCAAGCTGCTCTGCAAGAGGAAGAGGGAGATTTCTTGGGTTTTGCTTGAAGGGATAAGGGGGCGTGAGGGGCGGTGAGGCTCTGAGAGTGGGGAGGGGCTAGAAAGGGGGCATCAGGGAGGGTGGCGGTCGGGAAACTCAGGACAGAAGAATCTAAGTGTGTAAGCGGTTTGCTGTGATGTCTCTTTATCCGAGTCCCATGGATCACTAGTGATTTCCTGGAGAATTAAAAGAGGGGCTGACTCCTGCCTCTGGACTGGCTGGAATAAAAACATTTACTGGCTGCAGTAAAACGGTGCAGAGGACAGTATGGCGGTTCCTCAAAAAATTCAACATAGTATTAGCATAGGATCCAGCAATTCCACTTCTGGGTATACTTCCAAAAGAAGTGAAAGCAGGGACTTGAACACGTACTGTGCACCTGTGCTCATAGCAGCATTATTCACGAGAGCCAAGAGGTGGAAGCAGACCAGACATCCATCCATGGATGAAAGGATAAGCCAAATGCGATGTATACATTCAGTGGAATATAATTCAGGCCTAGAAAGGAAATTCTAACATGTGCTACAGCGTGGATGAACCTTGAGGCCATTATGCTGAGAGAAATATGGCAGTCACAAAACGGTAAATACTGTACTGATTCCACTTACACAAGGTAATTGGATAGTCAAATTCACAGAGACAGAAAGTAGAATAGTGATTGCCAGGGGCTGGGGGGAGGGCAAATGGTGAGTTATTATTTAATGGAGAGCTCCAATTTTGCAAGATGAAAAGAGTTCTGCAGATGGTGGTGACAGCTGCACAGCAATGTAAAAGTACTTAAGGCCACTGAACTGAACGCTTCAAAATGGTTAAGATGGTAAAATTTTATGTTCTGTGTACTTTAACACAATTGAAAAAATCCTGGGGGGGAAAAAAGCCTCTTAGCCCTGTACGTTTTGCTTAGGTTTCTTCGGGGGCTGAGAAAACTCACTTCTATATGGATTTGGCTTGATTACAGTGGAGTTGCCTCTTAGGCGGGGACTCAGTTTAGGGTTTAAGTGTGGAGTCCCCCTTGGAAAATTCCTGTATGGCCCACAGAGTAGGTGGGAAGGGGGCCAACACTGCTGCTTTTCCTTGTAGCCCTGGAACAAACACTGTGTCTTTGAGCATCAGGTGCAACGTGGATTTACATTCATGAGTCATAACGAAGTACGTCTTGCAAGCCAGTCCTAGGGTGGGCTGCTCACGCTGTGGTGGGCCCTCAGGACCAAGCTCAGTGAGGAAACAGAATGATCAGGCTCTTCTGGTGTTGGGCTCCAACAAGTGGAGGGACATGCATCACCTTCCCCGCGGGAAGCCATTTCCTTCCCCTCATGCAGAGGCGAACGCCTCCAAGCTCAGTGGGCGTGTGAGGTGTCTCCACCGAGGTGGCCTTTGTCCAGCCCAAGGAACCTGGACAGATGCCTTACTATCAAACCCCCCGCCCCACCTTTCAGCTGACTCTGATGGGTTTTCAACACTAAATTGTTCTCTGACTTTGGACCAGACCTATTGCCCATAGAAAAATGGCCCCTTCCCCCCACCAGGCCTCCCTGCTGACCACATCTCACAGGTACTTCCAGACACCTGCTCAAAACTGAAATTCTCCAACTTAAAAGGATCTTTTCAGATTGAAGATGCAATTCCAGAGGCCAATTCCTTGGTTCAGATCTGAGCCATAGGGTTCCTAGCTTTCAAAGAGAACCATCTTCAAATTACAGGATACCCCAAAGAGAAGTGGTTCAAGCCAAACTCACAGAAGACCATATTAAATAAAGCAGTGGTGTGAGCCGGCACTGACTTTCAGACAAATTGGACCCCCATCTCCTTCAGAAGGGCTTAGGCAGCACCTAGCCCAGTTCTAGGCATGGCTGGAGGCTCCAAATAAGTGAATGAATGACCAGCTGCCCTCTGGTGAGCCTGCCAGCATTGATTTGGCACTATTCTAGATCAATACAATTTCTGATTGGCAATACATTTGGGTTGTGATGCCCAAGGATTGAGAAGTAAACTAATGAACAGGACGCTATGAATTTTAACCCCGTTTTGCCATTAACTACTTTGCTGATCCCCAGGCAAGACTTTCTATCTTGGTTTTTCTCACCTGTAAACTCTGTATAAAAGAGATCTGTGGAAGTACATCAAAACATGGAAGAGAGAAAACAGAGCAATGAAATGCTTACTGGTGAAGTCGCTAATTTTTCTACCCTGAAATGCACTTGGTTCCAAGGCCGAATTCTTAAATGTTTAAAATGCGTTTAAGACAGACATTCTTAAGAATGCAGACATTCTTAAATGTTTAAAAAATAATGTGACGGCATACCCACCACCCAACATAAGATACAAAACATCATCAATAGAGTTGAAGCCCCTGAATACCTTCCCCAATTTCAGTCCCTGCTTCCTGCCCAAAGGCAACCATGCTCCTGAATCTGGACAAACGTGATAACCACTGCGCTACAGAAATGACGCCTGAATTTGGTATTTATCATTCCCATGCAATTCTTTATACCCTTACTCTCTCTATATATCTGTAAACAGTGAGACAGCTGGAAATACCTTTAAGCCAGGACTGACACGTACGTCTTCCAGAAGGATTTTGACACAGTATCTAGCTTAGCACAAAGGATTGTTTGGCAAGCACATCCTTACTTGTCACCTTACTCTCTGTGTCTTTTCACCTCCCTGAGCCGGGAACGGGCTATTCTCTCTAGGTGGACCCCAAATGGCGATGCAAGCCCTTCATTAGGTCTCCTGTTAACAGGCCTGGGCCCGTCCGGGACTATGGAGCTGAAGCACCGACCCCCCACCCCTCTCCCCGGCCCAGCTCCGCGCTGACGCCTCCCCCGTCTTCCCTTGCAGACGGAGATGCGGCTCCAGGACCAGCAGCTGGCCCGGCAGCTCATGCGCCTCCGCAGTGACATCCACAAGCTGAAGATCGAGCAGACCTGCGACCTCCACCGGCGGATGCTCAACGACGCCACCTACGAGCTGGAGGAGCGGGACGAGCTGTCCGACCTCTTCTGCGACGCCCCGCTCGCCTCCTCCTTCAGTCTCTCCGCGCCACTCAAGCTCATTGGGGTCACCAAGATGAACATCAACTCCCGCAGGTTTTCTCTGTGCTGAGAAGCCCTAAACGGGGCGGTGGAGCCGGAAGGAGGGTTTGGGAGGTGGACGGTGGGGGGCGGCGGGGGGGGGGGCCGTGGGAAGGAAGCTGAGGCCCAGCTACCCGAGCGGGTCTCCCCGGAGGCAGGGCGTCCCCAGGACCTGTGACACGTGCTCTCAGGGCCCAGCTGTGGAGCTCAGTGTCTCCATGCCTGGCCCTGGTTTAATACCCAAAGAGTCCTGCAGAAGGGCTGCCGCAACCGCTGTTCAGTGAGACCTGGGTCCCCAGGGCACACGTCTCATCCTCCCCTTAGTGACCCACATTCCTGTTTCCGGAATCACTGGTGCTATGACCTGGGAACCCAAAGGGGGACCAAAGCTGTGATTCTTGCAGAAGGCTTCCCCAGGGGCACCGACCCCCGGGGGAGGTGATTAGATGTCAGCCGCGCCCATGTCACTGTTGCTGTCCTCTAAGTACTGGCTCAAATTCACCCTAAGTGGGTGGCTCAGCAGCCTCGACAGGGACCCACCAGCAAAGGAAGACCAAAAGGAATAACACGTGGAGCTTGGGGAAGCAGGCCCCAGAGCCGCAGCCAGTGCCCCGGATGAGGTCTTTGACCTCGGGCCTACGAGTGCGGGGTACACTGTTTCCAGTGTGTGTGGTCCCACCAGTGTAGCTGGGGGGGAGCAGGCACACCCGCCCTCTGCTGCCCGTTCTGGCCACGTACACCAGTCCCAACCTCCAAAGAGCCCCTTTGCCGCCCCGCCACAACCCTGGGGAGCTCCTAGGAGTGGATTTCCCCGGGGAGGGGGGGGCAGCAGCGGCCTCCTGGTGGATTCCGACGGTGTCACCTCCGTCACCTTCGTGCCCTCCCCAGAAGCTCACCCTGAGCCTCCACTGAGATTCTGTGCCTGACTTAAACAACTAATTTTAATTGAATCAGACTGTTACTAACCTGTGGCTAACTTGTCAATAACTGTTTGATTTTTATCCAAATGGCGAAGCCAGTGGGTAGGTCAAGTACAGAGGTTCAGGGTTTGATTTTAGAAGATTCTCCCTCAAGACAAGTGGGAGGATCGGCAAGGTAAGGACTGAGACCTCAGCAAGTTAGGAAGTTACCCCAGTAGAACGCCCCGTGCGGGGGGTGGGGGGGGTGGGCTGACCTTTGACCCATCTAGCCAAGCCCTCTGCTTCATAAGGGAGTGAGGCCAGGGGAGGGGAGTGGTCTCCCTCAGGCTCCACAGCTCTTTAGCGGCTGTAGAATATTGATGTGTTAATAATAATCATTATTAATTACGCTACACAGATCACGTATCCATGAACTTGAACTCCAAAGATGGTACTCATGCTTTGCCAAACCCACGAACTGCCAACTGCCACTCAGCCCCGTCACCGACCCCCCACCCCCACCCCCCGCCCCGAGTTACGATTCCTACTGCGTCCGGGTTCCATTGTCGATGTGAGGCATCCTGTTGCTCTGTCTTTCATGCTTCGTCTTCCTGTAGAATTTCAGTGAGGCCCAGGCACGCTCACACACACACGCCATGACCCACACTGGGGAGCGGTTGCTTTTCTCTTGTGGGCCAGGAGTGGGAGTTTGTGGATGATCGGTCCCTAGTTAGGAAAGAATTTGGTGTTTTCTTGTGGCTTCCAAGAGCCGGAGGGTTTACACTTCCTTCAAAGACGGTATTACCACGTAGCCAAGATCTGTTTTTCCTTCGGCTCTGAGCAGTGGCAGAAGTCTGAGGCACAGAGCATTTGTCCATGAAGAAGCCCTCGGTGGAAGGCTAGGCCTCCTCAGGCCGGCTCCTCCCCAGGCAGGAAGGAGGGAGGTTTTCTCTAGCTAGTTGATGCCTCTCCTCAGGGGTTCTGTCTGAGCGCTGCCAAGTCCTACAGAGGCGTGCCCGCCAGCCGTCCTCCAGAAGAACCCTTGAGGTCTTGGGGTGGCCGGCCAGCCTGCACACACGCTCACTCTTCAGAGACGTGCACATACACACACTTGAACCCACACAGGCAAGCGCGTTCCACAACTGAAAAGAGGGCCACACTGAGTAGTTTTCTTTCTAGGAACCAGTCATTACAGTAACTAGAAAAGCTGTGTCTGGCCACAGCTGAGTGGTTTACCTGAATTTCGTCAACCCAGTTGAGTTGGAGTCAACTGGGCAATTTAGTTGCTCAGTTGACCTAATGATTCTTTGAGATCAAGAACACTTGATGGAATAGGTTTTGCAATAGGCGCGCTTTTTGGAATAGGTTAGATGTCTCAGCTTTTGTGCTTAGTTCATGCCAAGGGAATTTTATTTGGGGATAAGGGGGGAAGGAGAAGTCAGGAAGAGAAGTGCGGGGAAAAGACAGGTGTGTTTTCTTACTCACTGTCCAGTGTCTGTTAGCGTCCTTATTTCCACAGCGAACACAGACAACTAACCAAGTCAGTTCGGCTTTGTGAAGTCCCTGCCTCCTGTGGGTCAAGAGATGCCTGAGTCAGTCGCAGCCTAACCTGCGTGCTCAGCTCCCCAGGGCAGCCTTCCAGCTTTACCACGCGTATACGATACTGTTGCAGTTTTACTCATTATCTACCCGTCTCCCTGCCATCCCTCAAGGACCCCTGGGTGTAAAACTCGACGTCTCCATGACACTGCCTAGCAGGGTGATGTCTGACGCCTTCGTAGGCTCAGCAGTGATCACAGGCCTGGGGAGCCCGGGCAAGCTTGAGATGACCTGGCCCAGCCTCAGGCCTCCTCCCTGTAGCGATACCAAGTGCTATTACGTAATCGATGGACACTTTATAATTTTATTTTTTATGATTGTTTGTTTCTATATTGCTGTTAGAAAAAGTGAAATTAAAATATTTCAAAAGAATGTATTTATAAAGAGGAGAAATGTGCTTCCTTTTACCTTGTTCCTGTTACAGCACACACAGGGCCGAGCACTAAATTGAAAGAGAAAGAAGTGGGAGGAGGGAGGGAGGGAGGCCTGGAGGGAGGAACAGTCACCTGAATCACTCTCCTTCCTTCATGGCACCTTCCCCCAAGGAGGGCTGCTTGGTGGTGTCGCCATCAGGAGCTTCCAGGTGCGGGCTATGTGAGCTCAAGATGTGAAACTGAGAGATGCAGGCATTCATTATTCCTGAATTTGACCAAGGCCAGAGCCTCTCTTACATTAGCCACTTCCAAAGGTGACTCTGATTGGATTCAGAATATATGGGTCAAACTCAGAGCACTGCTGGATAGCGGACCCACAGGACATGTATTTCAAATCACAGTTCTATCATCCAAGTACGGGGCTTAGCATTACTGTCCTGTGTGGAGAACTCGTGTCAAACTTTTTCAACATCTTAAGTGGCAGTGCTCAAAATGAAGCCTGCATGAGGGTCACCTGGGGCACCTGCTGCAAATGCACAGCCCCAGGAAACTCCTGGGCTCCACTCAGAGGTTCTGGTGCGCAGCTCTGGCACGGGGCCTAGGAATCTGTTTTTAACGAACACTCCAGGAGACTGGCACAGGTGGTCTACAGACACTTGGAGAAACCTTTAAAGGGACAAAGCAGGCAGGGAAGACATGTCTTGAATGGCTCCTGTCTCTCATTCCCGGGAGAAGTCCATGTCTGCAGGTCAGAGCAGGTGTCAGGAATCCCATTCTGTAGAAGGAACAGCTGGAGAGAAGCACGCTAGCCGTCCCTTGAGATCATATTACCTGCTTACACCAAGCGGATGAGTGACTGGGATCTAGTTCCTGCAAAGAGCTCCCAGTATGAATTGGCTGCATGGAGCACAGGTCATGAGCTGAGGGACGGATGGGCACCTGGAGATCTGCCATCACCATCGGCCGTGTAGTTCAAAGGGCACTCGAGAAGCCACTGGGCCTTTCCACCCCTGCAGGTGGGACTGCACACTTTTTCAGCCCAAAGGGAAATGACTCTAATTTGGCCTCCAAACAAGTTAAATACTTTTAAGTGTCACAGAGAAGGTAAAAGGTGACGGCAGTGTCCTGCCTTGTGTGGGAGAGGGCTGCTTTTACCACGTGGTCAGGGAAGGCTTCTCTGAGAAGGTGCTATTTCAGCTGAAACTGCAGGCATGCAAAGATCAGGAAAAAGAGTGTTCTGGAGAGAAAAACAAGGACCCAGATTCTGAGGCGGGAGGGAGTGTGGTGGGCAGTGCGGCTCGAGTGGGGTCAGCCTCGTAGGTCAGAGTAAGGAGTCTGGGTTTTACTGGGATTGGGCCAGAAGTGTTTTGAGGTCTTTGAACTGGGGAGTGATGTATGATCTGATTTACGTGTTAAGCAAGATCTACGTAGAAAATATGGGGGAAGTGGGGCAGACGTGGCATATCCACTGGCGGTCAATTACAGTGGACGCGAGTGACTTGGACGCCCGTGGCAGCTATGGTGATACACGGTCTGATTTGGGATTTACTTTGGGACCTAGTGTGGGATGTATTTTGGATACTGTGGAGGTAAAGCCAACAGGGTCCACTGGTAGCTTGGATGTGGAGTGTGAGGGAAATAGAGACTAAGGATAGCCCTCTGGCCAGCAGCTGGATTGGGGGGCAGGGGCTTTACTGAGATGAGAAAGTTTGAGGGGAGCATGAGTCGGGGAGACAGCATTAACAGTTCAGTCTCAGCCGTGTTATATTTAAATGTCTATCAAACATTCAAGCAGGAGGTGAGTAGGTGGTTGGCTATAAGGACCCGGACTTCAGGAAAAGGCCAATGTCAGAGGCATAAATTTAGGAGTGTGGATTTGGGTGTTTGGATGATATTAAAAAGCACCATACCTGGATACACTCCTCTAGGAAGAAAGCATAGACATAGAAGAGGGGGCTAAGTACAGCATCGTGGGGACTCCAGCACCTAGGGGTCTGAGAGAGAAATAAGAACAGCCACAGGAATCTTAGAAAGACCAGCTGGTAAAGTACAAGGAAAACGGGATGAAGGGGGCATCGGGGAGCCTTAAGGAAGAAAATGTTTCAAGGAGACAGTCGTCAATTTCAAATGCTGCTGAGAAATCGAGGAAGAGGTGGACAGAGAGATAAACAGTGTTTTCAAGCAAGATGGAGATCATCTGTCTTTTATTCCAACGGTGATAGCCCTTTCAGTCCAGGGGTGGGGACAGAAGTCCAGTTGTGTGGGTTGAGGAGAAAATGGAAAGTGAAGAAATTGACTCAAGTCAGTTTGCTGTAAAGCGAGCAGAGAAATAGCAGCTGGACAAAGTCCTAAAGTCAGGGAAACAATTTTTGGCTTCCTGGAAACAGCGTATAACAAAATAAATACATAAGAGAGTACACTGTATATTAACAATGTATCAAATCATAATGCAAATGTATAATAAAGGTGCCAGCATCTGAGACATGCGAAGGGAGAAACTGAGGGTGCATGAGAGAGCAGAAAGTAATTGTAGCAGTGAAGTTCTTGAGGAGGAGAGAGGGGGCTGGGAGGGGAGTAAAGACACCCCTTCCACTGTAGCGAGAGGGAAGGCGGAAGATGAGAGGGTTAGGGAATCTCTGGTGGGAAGAGGAGGGTCCCATTGGATCCTTCCTATTTTCTCTGTGAAATAGGAGAGTGACTTGGAGGTGGTGGAATGTTGGAGGTTTGGGAAGAAAGAAGTTTTGAAATAATTATCTCAGCGAATGGACATGTTCATTTATTAGGAAGGGTAGTGAAGTCACCCAGGAGTGCTGGCTGCCCATTTGAGGCTTGTGGTCGTTCAGTGTGATGCAAATCCAGTGAATGTGGTTGCGTGTATTTTTTTTTGTTTTTTGTTTTTCCCTCCAGCAATGGTTAGATGCCACAGTGCGCACACAGGGCAGGCAGACGGTGGCAAGGGGATGTGTCAGGCAGGTACACGGGAGGACAAGGAAGCGGAAGTTAAAGTGTTTTGCAAAGGAGCAACCGTAGTGTTGAACCAAGGAATCCAAACCCAGTGAGGAGGGGAGAGGGGACATGGGGACACGGGGGCGGGGGTGACAGCAGTGCTAGAGCGGTGGGGTCCATGGTTGGCGGTCTCGGTGCCATCTGGGACTCGCTGAGTGACAGGGCTGGTGGGGAAAAGCTGAACAGAAGGTGATGATCAGAGAATGGGGACAGCAGAAGTGACATTTCGGGGATGGTGCAGCTTCTTCCTTCCGAGACACAGCCTGATGCTACATTAGCTGCCTGGTGGCCTCAGTAAGTGTGTACCTCATGCACTGGTGACATCAGTCAAGACTGAGACTGCCCCGGCCCCTGCAGATCTCACCCGTCTTATTTAGAAAGGGGTTTTTACGCTCTGTTGACAGCATTCTCTTTGGCTTCTTGGCAAGAGCAGAGCATCTCCCGCTTCCTAATGCTCTCTGTCAGAGCCCCGAGTCTGCAGTTGAGAAGAAGAGACTGGAGGAGGACAGTAGTGTGGCCCTGCCAGGACACACAGGTCAAGTACAACCATGGGCCTATCTGATGGGAACCGCTCAGGCACACTGAAGCTTTCAGATAAGGCTATTTTTAAATACCCTGTTCGCAGGCTCAAAGCAAACAGCGGTGGAGACACCTAGGCAGTCTCCGAGGGAAACCGACTCAGGAAGAGAGACCGCAAACATTGGGGGGTCTGGACAGCAGTCACCCACACTCACTGCGAGGAGATAAGTCCGCGGGGGGCATTTCCTGGCTGGCAGGGACAGGTGCCGGAGTGGGTGGAAATTCCCTGGGAGATATTCCGGTAAGGCCTGGTTCAGCTCTGCAGGACTGGAGTGTATTTATTTCCTAAACCATTCTGTCAAACAGGGAATCCCTCAATCCAATCGCTTCTTCTTCCTGCCCCCTCCTCCACGTGGGGACAACTGGAGCCTGAGAAAGGACCACTTGTCGGAGAACATCCAGGGTCCCAAGGGACTCTGCCTCCTTCCAGTAAACTCCCCTTCCCAGGGGGGGCCGGCCTGGGCACCACCCACTGCCCCGAGAGCCTCCCCGGGATCGGACGCCCCTTCGGGGCGGCACAGGGCTGGAGGGCAGCACAAGGGCTCTCTGCGCTGTCCCATTGCACCAGGCGGGGTGGGTGGGAAGTGGAATTGTTCCAGCATCCCAAGCAGGGGAGGACCTGACCCAGGGCATCCAGGCTTACGAACCACTGGAAGAATCAGGGAACGTGATTCTCGGAGCTGTGCTGGATTCCAGCAAGCTCGGCAGGCGTCGTTTGGGGCTTCTGGCAGCACCTGAGCAGGTATTCCCAAGAGGTCTTCTGTCTGCCTGTCTGCCTTCCGCCACCACTGGGTTTTTACTAACACAAACACCCCCACCCGGAACACTTCTGACACCAGATGTGTGAGTTTCCCACCCCAAACGACCCTCCAGTTCTCTGCAGACACCAACTGGGTGTTCTACAATTTAACTCAGTTTGACACAATCCACACACAAAATGTCATCTCCTGTATCCCCCATCCCCGCCCACAGTGGCCTCTGAGCTGGGATCCCTGTACCCCTCTCTAGGAAAGACAAGACTGAATGAGCCATCATAAAGATGCAGCACGGTGCCCAGGAGGTAAAAAGAGATGCTCTGAAAGCAAGTTTCTGTTAAAAGTTTCCAGCCACTTCTATTTCTAGCAGAGGAGACAGTGAGTCTCCCTGAGAAAAACCGTAGGAGCGGTTCCTTTCAGGGAAGTGGATGAGAGGGGGTCAGCCGCCATGCCCCTGGGGGAAGGGAGCCAGAGGGATGGGCAAGCTGCATCCGTGCCAGAAGCCTTCCCAAGCAAATGACCTTGACTCCTTTACAGATTCAAAAGCACCTCTAAGGCCCAACGCCTTACTTCTTCAGGGGATCACAGACGTGCGGGTGAGAACACGCATCCTAGGGGCTGGGACACGGGGAGGGGGTGACGGCACCCACTTTAAGGGACAAAGCAGAGGTAAAGAGCAGCCTCTGGGGGTCATGAGTCTCAGGGAAGAAGGGAGAGGAGAGCGACTCACCCTGCTAAAATGGGGCTGGAATTAAATCATATAAAATAACAAAGGAACATGGCTTTTTATGGACCCCAAACTGCAGGTGGGACACACCGTATGCTGTCAGAGTCGGGTGGCTTTATCACTCAGAGTACGATTTTTTTTTTTTTTTTTTTTCCTGTTGCAAACAAAGAAGCAGGTCCAGGAGCTGGAGTGGCTGACCACGGTCACCGTCCGGTTGGTGCAGAGCTGGGACTGCACCGCGGTCTCCTAACTCCTTATCCTGGCTCTTCCCAACGCCCTCTCCTCCCTGGAGCCCTCCCACCTCCGAGTTCTCCCTTCCAACTACACACAGAAGGAGGTCTGAGAAAACAAATCTGAGAAGTTCTTCCCGCTGTAAACAAAAGGTTTTTTCAGACTTTATAATGCGGGCCTATTGAGTTAAGGAAATCCTAAAGTGCCCCCTGCTGGACAAACAGAGGAACCTACTCACATGTGGATTGTCTTCCAGATGCTGTAGCAGCGCCAATAACTTACACCTTGATATTTGCTTGTTTTCTTGGCATTTGTGATTGTCATCACTTTCCATGTTTGCTGGAAAATTCAAAGTTCAAATGCTATTTCCACCACTCAAAAACTGAGATCTCTAGCGGGAGTACCCTGTCACAATTTAATTAAATTCTACAAATACTTTTTAATATTTACTATGTGCCAAGCACTGTGCCAATTCTAGAAAAGCAAGGTGACTAGAAGCTGAAGGTTTATACAGCACTTTGGTTTCATTCATGCCATCTCAACTGAAATTCATGTTTTATGTCAGTCGTGGCACGCAATCTTTTATAAAGAATATAAAATGGCCATTAACTTGAAAATAGTGTGATATGTTTTAAAATCTATTGTTTAATGTGGTGTTTTCATTCTCTTTTTTTTTTTTTTTTTGCGGCACGCGGGCCTCTCACTGTTGTGGCCTCTCCCGTTGCGGAGCACAGGCTCCGGACGCGCAGGCTCAGCGGCCATGGCTCACGGGCCCAGCCGCTCCGCGGCATGTGGGATCTTCCTGGACCCGGGGCACGAACCCGCGTCCCCTGCATCGGCAGGCAGACTCTCAACCACTGCGCCACCAGGGAAGCCCCCAACCTACTTTTTTTAATGGGCAAAAAATTTGAACACACCCTTCACAGAGAAAAAAAATACAAATGGCCAATAAGCACATGAAAAGATGCTTAACGTCATCAGTAATCAGGGAAGTGAAAACTAAAACCACAGTGGAACACCACTTTACACCCATGAGAATGACTAAAATTAAAACGACTAGTAACACCAAGTATTGATGATGTGGAGCAAACTCATATATTGCTGATGGAATTGTAAATGGTACAGTCACTTTGGAAAACATTTTGGGAATTTCTTATATGGTTGAACATATACTTACCATAGGACCTAGCAATTCTAAGGTATTTATACAATAGAAATGGAAATAGATGTACACACACAGACTCCTATATGGATGTTTACAGCAGCTTTATTCATAATAGTCAAAACCTGGGGAAAAACCTAAAATGTCCTTTAGTAGGTGAATGGATAAAAAAAATTGTGGTATATTTATACAATAGCATAAATATTCCTGCTCAGCATAAAAAGGAATGAACTACTGATACATACAATAACGTAGATGGATCTTGAAAATACTGAGCGAAATAAGTGAAATACAAAAGAATAGGTGTACAATTCCATTTACATAAAGCTAGAAAAAAGTCTTATTTAATTCACGGTGACAGAATGCAGATCAGTTGTTACCTGGGGCAGGAGCGGGGATTGACTGGGGGTGAGGCCTAGGGAACTTTTGGGGGTAATAAGGAATATTCTGTGTCTTGAATGTGGTTGTATGAATATGTAAATTTGTCAAAGCTCATCAGAATGGGTTTTGGATGCATAATAAATTATACCTGAGTAAATTACACCTCAATAAAGTTGATTAAAAAAACACCTAAGCAATCTGGGAAAAAATAAGGCTTAGAAAACACTAACATAACAGATGAAAAGGAAAATCACGACTTTATGGAGTCCTAGAGATGGGGACCAGAAGACACAAGAGGTAAAGCAAGTGAGATTCTGTGAAACACCTTTCCCTCTCCTGGCCGTGCCTACACACAGTTATAATCATCATTACAGAGAGCCTTTCGTATCCGCACTGGATTTTACGGTCTGTGGCCAGACCTCTTCACAACCCTCACAGCCACTCTTGACTTAGATACTATTGTGGTCTCCATTACTACAGAAAAGGAGACTGAGGCTCAGAAAAACCAGTGATTTTTTTTAAGATCACACGGAAAATGATAGACCTGCGATTCAAGTCCAAGTGCCAAGGAACTCCAATTTTCCAAACTCTCTCACCTCCCTATCCTCTTGTCCCCCAGGAAAAGTCACTCAGTTATTATGTAATTAATTGAAATCACCATGAGCAATAACGTATCAATAACAACAGTACCAGAGCTAAGATCTGTAGAACTAGGATGTAACATTCATTTTCTGGCTCAGACCAGTCCACATGTGTTTCTCAAAAGATGGAATGACTATAACGGCTGATGGTTGTGTTTAATGATGCTTTGCTTATTAGTATCTCAATTCAACAAATACTCTGTGGGGAAGGCATTGTTAGGAGCAGGGCATTCAGAAAGGATTAAGGCACAGTCCTGGCCTTCCCAGACTTAAAAGCCAGTGTTACACCCTGTTCAGCTCAGGACTGTTTTCTCCCATGTGTGGTCCTAACACCAACAGTTACCTCCTACCGAAATCCCATCAGCTCCCACAGTGACTCGCAGAATGGGCGCCAGATGGGGGCACCATGTCCAGATTGTCTGTTTTCCAAGAAGTATTAACGGCATTTTCCAAAGTCAAATGGAGGGATCTGACAAGGGCACTGGGGCCCACAGTAGGAAAGAGCAATTTAAATCAGACCTAGCTTGCGGAATCTATAATACAGCACTGTTCTGAATAGGGCTGTAAGCCTCCGGCCTAATAGCCCCAAGCTACTTGAGAGGTGGTAAAGTTACTTTAGAGTTTTCAGATGCTTTTTAACATAACTGTCAAATATGATAAGTCAAGCAAACATAGGTGGTTTTTTTTTTGTCTTTACTTGCATATTTTAAAACGGCTCTTTTACGTATTATAGCAAATACCTCAAATTATAAACATTTCTCTGGGAAAGAGGTGGTATAGGGTGGGGCACTTCTGTGATAAGCACCATTCCCTTTATTTATGTCCTGCCTTTTGAGGGCAGTGGAAGGAAAGCAGAGATTGTTATTCCTGTTTTCCATGATGAGAAACTCCACTGTGAAGCACCCCTTGGTTTTGTGCATCTCAATCCTTTTTAAAGTTTTGACATATGCATGCTTCCTTCTCTGATGCCCCATTACACACATTCATTTGAAAAATTAAAGTGAACTACACCTAACTTTTTTCATATCGTAACATGTAAAATTAATAACTTTCACTGCATTTTCTGTAATGCGGAACACATAAGGAGCAGAAAGGGTGACACAAACCTGATTTTTGGCTTCCTCAGACACCTGTTGGCCTCCTATGGGATGCATCCTTGTTCATGGCACACAGAATAACCCTAGCCTGCGTCTCACGGTCAAGTGCAGCAAACATCAACCCGTAAAATACTTTCTCCAGTGTGTCAACCTGGTCAGGACTGGGGTGTCCCGTGGTGGTAGGGATTTGTATAAGTTTTATTTTATTTTATTTTGGCCACACTGCGCAGGATGTGGGATCTTAGCTCCCCAGCCAGGGATCAAACCACTTCTTACTACCCCTGAAGGGGAAGCACGGAGTCTTAACCTTCCCTGGACCACCAGGGAAGTCCCTGTATAACTTTTAAACACAAAATTGTTCAATTTTAAAAAACTTTTATTGAAGTAGAGTTGATTTACAATGTTGTGTTAATTTCTGTTGTACAGCAAAGTGACTCAGTTATACACATATATATTCTTTCTCATATTCTTTTTTTTTTTTTTTT